TTTTTTGCCGTCGGTGAAGAGGACCGCGTCTGCGTCGCAGCAACATGGGGTAGGCAAAAGTCGAACAGCAGCAGTAGTAGTTAATGGTCAGCAGTAGCGGCAAACATACCCTGCTGGAGGGCGTGCATTGTGTTGCGTCGTCGCTGTACAGAATATTGCTCTCCATGTGCCTATCGGTAGGAGTAAGTGCGGTATGTACTGCTCAAGAATATGGCCACGCTCGGGTAGCCATACAGCTGAGCCTCGACAAGCTACGTTACGACTGGTGCACTTACTAAAGGGTTGCATCCTGTGATTGCCGCCCAAAGGATGGGCCGTGGCTTGACAAGGTATCCTATGCATACAGCAGCAGTATCATCTTGGTTCTTCTTGCGGCAGCAGCCCGTCATGGCCTGGTGAGTGCAGCAAAAATGCAACTTTGGCCGGACCCGGTACCCTACACCCTACGTTGAGCATGTCATGTTGAACAGCACACCATGAAGGCACCGAACCCAGCCTGTCTCCATCATGACGGTTGTCTTACGCACTCGAAACCTGCCTCTCTCTCTCCCGCGTTCGTTGTGTCTCACCTCCGCTCATCGACGTCCTTCCCATGACCTCGAACGTGAGCCACGGCTGCGAGAAGTATTGATCCGCCTCCAAGTTTTCCTTGAGCCACTTGAAGAAGCCAGGGACAGCGATGTCCTTGTACCCCTTCGCCACTGCCGCGTGCTTGGCCTGTGTGGAGACAATCCCGGCGTTGCGCTTGACCGCCAATTCAGCAACTTGGTGTCCGTCAGGCCGGAGCTCCTCTTGTCCCGCAGCATCGAAATCACTGTCTCCGCATACGAGTTGAACTCCAGCGGGAGAGACTGTACGCCATCTAGTTTCATAGCATTCATGGTCTGCTGTACGGGATGCGACTGCTGTGTGCAGAGTGGCGCTGGTGCAGAAAAGCGTTGTGTTTTGTGGTGTGCGCGGTGTGTGCTGTGAGCGGCGGAAATTCAAAAACCACTGTGCCCCCGCGCGCCGAACGCCACCGAAAATCATCAGGAAACCCCAGTTCTAAAAAGAGACCTCGTAAGAAGGGGTTCATCTTTTTTGTGTATCTTTTTTTGGGCTGTCTTTTTTGAGGGAAAAAAGGTCCAGAGAAAAAGACTTCGTAAGAAATGGCCTAACCTCTCGTGTCAAAATTCTGCCGTCTCGTGTCAAAATTCTGGTCTCGTGTCGAAATTTCGTGCTCGTGTCAAAATTCCTGACACACGTGGGACCCATGTAATAATTTAACGTGGGAACCCAGGAGTTTCTTGCAATTCCAACAGGAGGTGGGGCTGCAGTTCCAAGAGTGAGGTGCGCTAAGGACACGTCATGCTGTACCACCTTCCGTCCTCGCTCTCGCTCTGGAAGATAATCAACGGGCACAAGTCTCCCCGATGCCTTGCGGACGTCTCTCCGTGTCCGAACAACAGCAGCAGCACTACGAAGGTATGTTGTACGACACTACTACTGCTGCCGCAGCTAGCTGTTGTCCCTGGGAAAATGATTGAACGTTACCCCATCTCATCATCACGATTTGGAGTAACACCAGCGTCATGCCCCGCGGTCTTGTCGTCAGCGCAACCATTGGCACAGTGACTCTACGAACTACAGTCATCTTCAGATGAGTCATCCATCCAGGCTGAGCAGATCCATCAACGGTCAGCCGAACAATATTTCCATCTGCAAACGCCCCACAAATGTTCGCAAAAGCTATTTCGGGATAACACAGAGTCTATTGCCTAGGATGACGGTTCGTCGAACGTCAAGGGAGGCGAGTGTTAATGAGGGTGGCAGCTCTCACTGCCGTCGATGTATACTTGCCGTCCATTTTTCACATCCATCTCGGGATATGTTCTGCAAGCATGTCAGACGGGGTCACAGGACGGAAGGCCGGCAGGTCGTATTTTCTCTTTTTGCTCCTTTCTTGAGTGCTTGAGCGTCATCATTCAAATGGTGGACTCAGCCACTTTCCTTTCCCTTGTCGAACTGCTGCGTTTTGTACTAACGAAAATTAATTGCTTTCCCCACGCAGGTTTTGCGTATCCGGGGGAAGCTCTCGAAATTCACTCGAGAATAAAAAAAAACACATATGAATGGGCAGTCCACTAACTGCTTGCCGCTGTTACCGCATCCATCCGTCCGGACGGGAATGAACACCATGCCCGAGCTGGCCAGCGATTCCGCGCGTTCCCGGCAAAACAAGCAAAATAGTCAATTATAACAACCTAAGCGCGAACGAGCCGAGTTTGCTTTGTCGGCAAATATTACCAAAATCCTGACGACACACTTGCTGCCTTCTTCCTTGTACCCGAGAAGATTCCCTGCTGAAACTTCGGTGGCAGTGTCAGAAAAAAATCCGCCTTGCGGAATGCCTGGAACGCTTCCGAGCACAAAATACGATCAAATCCCCGATCCGCACCAAAGTATCGCTGTTGTTCTTACCAGTCTATGATATTATACTACGGACAAGACCAGTGGGAAATGCTTCGCAACCGCAAGACGATGACCAAAGAATAACCGTTTCACTCACTCGCCTGCGACATCGTCTACCAACTACGCAGCGGCACCGGATCCATCGGTCGTCACGTACGGGCGGCTCATGGCCGCGAGGGCATGCCGCGCAGCCAACGAACGACGCATCCCGTCAGCCTCGTCACTCCTGCTACCATCATGAGGAATCAACGCGACTCAGTGAGGAAGCACTAAGGTAGCAGGCTGCTACAACCACTCCACGCGCCCAGATTCGCTTGCCGGTGCGGGTAGCCGGGGGGCGGGGGGGCGGAGACCCGACCGACCATGGATGATTTTGCTGTGTCGGCCGATACATACATATCGACCCGATCTTGGGCACCACGACAACATCATCTGTACCACCAAATCTATCCTGCTTAGAAGAGGCGTGGTACGCAGCGAGCGAGCGAGCTATGATAGTCGCAAAAACAAAAAAAAGTCTTCCGCCGCCGCCGCCGCGGTCGCGCCTCCGCCCGTCATGCTCCTGGGAAGCGCGACGTCATATCGATGTCGCGTCCCGCCTACTACTAGCTATAGCAAGAAATTTAGAAGTGCGACATCATCTCGACCTGGGTGATATGTCGGCAGTCCGTGCCAAACGGCGACGGGATGAGCTCCGTGAGCTCGTGCGTCGGCAGGTCGATGTACGGTACCTTGGACACCTCGATGCCCATGAAGTAGGCGTGGAGGCACCGCTGCACGGCCAGGTGGCACACGACCACCAAGCTTCGTGGCTGACAGGGGCAACACGCAATTTGGGGGCACGGGGTGGGGGCTGGCTGATGAGCTCACGTAGGATAAGGGGAAGCAGGACAGAAATCAAGCGTTGTCCTACATTCGCACGGAGTGGGGCGAGCTGCCCTGACACTCCTCTTCAGAATGCGGCACACGCGGCATGTGACGGGGCGTCGGTCGAGTACATCGTTGTCCATGGACTCTCGGCCGACTCTCGCTGCAGCCATGCTAAGCACAGCCCAGGGAAAGTCTTGCCGAAAACAACGGACAGTAAATATGATCGGCCTTGGGCCCGGCATTGCCTGCTGTCGGCTTCCAGTCGTTCCAGTCCCCCCCCTCCCGCGTACGCAACGACTCCGCCGTCCAATCCCCTGCCGATTCTCGTTCGGCGCGATTCCGTCATCACCAGTGACCGCACGGGGAACGGCTTCATCGTCGAGGATCACAACAAAAACACGCGCAACTCGTCATAAAAATAACACTATTGTAAACAGAACGAACAACAACACGAAAGTACAAGCACACAGGGGTGTTATATAATTTGTCTGTGAGGACATGAACGTATGTGTCAAAAGTGAAGAAACGAAAAAACCCTCGCACCTGCCGCTCGAGTTCTACGATGATTGGCCGCACTCTCTGGATCACGTCCTGGTACGACTCTCCCCCGGCCCCCGGGAACCTGAACTCTAGCTTGTCCTGTTCCCTCTGCTTCCACATCTCGGGGTACTGCTTGCGGAAGCTCTCGCGGTCCATGCCGGAGAGCTCTCCCCCGTGGATCTCGTTCAGGAGGGGGGTCGTAGCGACCGGATACAGCATCTGATGCACGTGAACACGCATTCAGCATGCAGGGACAAGACGTGAATTCGCATGTGGGACAACATGTGATGCGTGTGGGCACGTGTTGAGTATCTAGAGAAAACACGTGAACTTGCATGTGGTACAGCATCTGATACCATGTGGAGATGTGGGCGAATTGATGCGAGGCGTGTTCAATATGAAGAGCGGAGGAGAAAACCTTTTATCGAATGTGGCACAGCATCTGATACACATTTGGATACGGAGGCGAGCGCGTGCGAGGCGTTTTCAATACCCAGAGAGAGCACGTGCACCCGCATGTGGTGCAGCATCTGATACATGTGAATGGGAGGCGAGTGAGTGCGAGGCGTGATCAACATGCAGAGAGACAACAGAGATCGCGTGCATTCGCATGTGGATACAGCATCAGATGCACGTGGATACGGAGGCGAACGGGCACGACGTGTTCCTGCCATGCTCGAATGGGCCTGCGGGCGTGACGCCGAGTTGTTGGAGAGAAGGAGGCGCCATTGAAATGACAACGTACCTGCAAGTGAGCGATCGACTCGCGGTCGACTTTCTGGGTCCCCGCCAAGATGAGGATCTCCGCCCCTGGACCCGTGATTTTTGAGGTTTCCTAGAAAAAACCGTCCGCGAGATTGCGGTGGGTGGGAAGTCACTGTTTGTGTTAGGCAAAACATAAGGGGTCAAGATCAGGCTGGATACTTGATAGACCAATCAAACACATCAATGTGATTACGCTGCAACATTGGCCCATTTCTCCCGCTGCGACTGGCCTGTTCGTTGGCAGCGTCAATGAACCAACGTGAGGGGCTGGAACCACAAAAAACAAGAACGCGCACACACACACAGCTCATGGCCTTTAGAAGCACATTGTGTTTTCAACCGCACTGAGCCTGACGTCATTTCATTGGGCAGCCGGTTAGCACGGTCGATGCTAATCAGAAAGAGACATTCACAGCTTGGAGACGTTCTTGTTCCAGCTGTAAGTCTGACGCTGATCGGCCGACCACAACAGAGCAGCCGGTACTGGACCCATAAAACACACCCCAACGCGCGAGGCACGACGACGCCCCTACCTTGAAAACACCACCCACCTGCTCCGCTTGAAGGTACTTGGCGACGGTCATGCTGTACCGCCTCCCCTCCTCCGTTAGCTCTTCGCCCCCCTCCCCGACGTCGTATTCGCTGTCTGGGAGAACGCTCTCCGCCGGTCTGGTCAGCCAGATCTTTCGCGGTCCGATGTGGATGTTCTGGATGAAGGGGTGGCGGAGAAAGGCAGGCAGCCCGAGCGAGGAACAAAAAGGGACACTAATGACTTGTCCTACAAAACACAATACAAAATAATATATGCGCATATTTGTCCTACGAAACAAACTGAAAACAAAAACAAAATATGCATCTTTGTCCTACAAACAAAATGAAAACAAAAAACAAATTAGGACATGAATCCTCTTACGTATTTTTATTCAAGGTACTTGTAATCTATCACGAACTCGTACTTGTGCAGGAGATAAATTTGCTGTGTTTTGCTAAGGAAAAAATATATATACAAAGGGGGGAAAGGGAGGATACGGGGTGGGGGGCAGGGGCACTAACGGCCTTTGCTCATGTCCGGCTCAAAGTTTGCAAGGAACCTTGTCAATCGGGATAATCGTATTTTCCCGATCCTTATCTGTTCAGACCACCAAAATAAACACAGCACACCCGCTATTCTCCAACACGTCATCCACCCTGCCGCAACGGTGCGGACAACGACGAAATGCTATATTTCTCCATTCCCGCATGTTCATTCGCTCGCTGTAAAAACGCGAATACACAGCAGCAGCAGCAGCAGCAAAAACAACAACAATAACATTGATTGTTGGGACGTTACCACCATGGCTGCTGCTGCCACTGCAAACAGCCTACCTGCAGGTAAAAGGCGACCTGGCTCGGCAAGTAGCCCTTGCAGTTCCTCGTCACCACCTTCTGCCCGACGTTGTAGAGCTTGATGTACTGGATGTCCCCCATGTCTTCGTTGTCCTCTATTGTCTCGTACACAGCCTCGTACGCCTTCACTCTCTGCTTGAAGTCCTGCGGAGAAGAACGCGAATGCAACCCGAAAAATGGAACGGCAGGGCGGCGTGGCATGGGTGATTTCAATTTTCTCCTCCTCACCCTACGTCAAATTGGCTACCTTGGCGGTTACCCGTACCGCAACTTGTGTTGTAAGGAACTGTTCTGGAAAACTGAGGTGCCGATGGACGCCTTCGAATGGACCCGCAAATTGGACAAGGCTGGCGTGCGCGGGTGTATTTCGATTTTCTCCTTTCTTCCCGTTAACATGGTTACCTTGGCGGTTACCCGTACCGCAACGTGTTCTGGTTTTATGGGGAACTATCCTATGAAACTGAGGAGTCGATGCACGTCCGCTAGTTGTGTCCAGGACATTATCAACGAACGTACCATATCCCAGGGACAAGAAGCGACACTACAGGCTTGAAGCGGCGGCCACTATCCTCAAACCTCGAAAAATTGAATGCCAAAAAACACGTCAACGCGGTGCTCAGGACGTTGAAAGGGTGGAGCGAACATCAAAATCGAGCTGTGCCCACTTGCCGTTTCTAGATACTGGCGAAACTGTGGGACCTGGCGTGGACACTGCATACCCTCAAGTAAACAACAGCAAACTAAAGAAAACGGGAGAAACAAGAAAAAAAAGTGGCAAGACCAAGGTGCTGAAAAAAAAAAAAAAAAGGGTCGAATCTTACCCTGAGCGCGGCATCGGGGTCTTGGTTCTTGTAGTCGTCGTTCTTCAGCTTGAGCTTGTAGTTCTGAAAACCGAACGAAAAAAGGTCAGTCTCCACGGGAAAAAAAAACACCCCGGTGAACGTTCGCAATGTTTCAAACTTCGAACTGAGTACACGGAGGAACAGTGGCAGGCAGTAGGCGCGGCCGCTTCTGTCTGGGAATCGGGTGTGAAAAAAAAAAATGGGCATGTCCTCTGTGGAGCAAAGGCCTGGGCGGAAATCGTTCTCATCGACACTCAATCAATCGCACCGTACGCTATGAACGTTGGTCCCTTAATGCCCGACATTGTACGCCTCCAATCTTTCACAGGGCAGCAACGCCTCCGTCCACACTCCAAACTGCCGTCACCACTCCACCGGCCAGTGCACCAGCGACAACGGCTGCTGCAGCTATGACCGAGGGGGACGAAAAACAAGATCGGTTACACTGATATCGAAGGAAACACACGGAAAGACAGCCGAGAGAGGCGAGCTGCACTTCGCGAGTGCGACCATGACCAAGTCCCGTGAATTGTTAGCGAAAAATTCGTCCTGAGAAAAATGCTCTCGCGGGTCGTCGCAAATTGGATTTTTTGGGAGGCGACCAGCAAGGACACGAGAGCGAGACAAAGAGACAAGGAAACTGAGAGACAGAGAGGCGTGCAGGGACCGACGCAACGCGAGAGCAGGGCACCACAGCTGCCTGGCATCTCTGTCTGTCCGTCGGCCTCTCTATCTATCCGTCTACCAGTCTATCCTTCTTTCTGTGTTGTTGTGTACTCTGGCTACATGTCCGTTTCTGTCTTGTCATTTCTGGCCGCTTGTCTGTCATTTTCTGGCTGCTTGTCCTTCCTCTCTATCTGCCTGTCGGTCGGTCCGCACGTACAACACATACATACCTGGGACAGGATGACGGGGTCGTCGCAGATGCTCTCTATGAACACCAGCATGGCGTTCTTCTCCACCTTGGAGCGCTGGACAAGCAGGTGTCTCCTTTTCTTGGTGGTGTTGGTGGCGTCGAAGAGCGCCACCTTTGCGCAGTCTTCCTCCTGAAGCCACTCGTACATCTCGTCCTGCGCCACCTGTGATTGGTTGTTGGTTTTTGGTCGTCAAATCGGCGGTTTTTATTTTTGCTTGTTCTATCGTGGCGATCTCTTCCCGTGCACCACCCTTTCGTTCATGGTGCTGTCGTCGCTATTTAAAAATTGTATGCGTGACACGGTTTCATTTATTTTCGCCTTGGATTTCCGACGTGTTTGTCGTCTAGACACTTGTCTTGAAAATGGCGCTTTCGACTACTTTCTTCTCGGATGCAACAGCTCGTCAACAGCCGGGTGCCACTACTTCGCTCGTTCAAAAGCGGCTTTGCCTGAACAACCTGTGCAAATGTTCTTTCTGGCTCTACCCCGCTCTTGCAGTTTTCGCATGAACGGGAAAAAAAAAAACTCGGCGCCACTCTTTCCATGGTGATGGTTCTTGCATTCTTGTTGTGTCGCCGACAGCCACAGCACTGCAGCACCCACGCAACGACGCCTGCCACGCCTCCCCACAGCCCGCCACGCCCCCTCGCCCCTTGCCTTCACCGGCAGAATCGGTGTAGAGCGTGCCGCCTCCGCCTCGAACCGCAAGTCCTACTAGACCCCCCTCACCTCACCCGCAACACCTCACCCGCAACAAAAAAACACACGTCACCAAAAATAACGAAAATAGATCACCTGAACCATCTGGGAGCGCACTCGCTGCCCTTCTTCGTTGCTCTTCTCGAAGAAAGACTTCGCCACCCCGCCATAACCTAACCTCCGCCTATAGTCCCCGATATTGAACACCTTCGTTGGAAACCCTGAACAACCGAGAGATTGACGGGGCGTATCGAAAGCGCGGGATCGGTAAAAGGATTAGAAATACTTTGTGAGTGATGCCCGGGTGGTGGTGCGGCGAAAATGCCCCCTTCTTTCTGGTGCTGTTGAGGTCGAGATGAAGAAACGGCAGCAGGCGGCGGCAGAGAACCGGCGCATCGGTGAAACAAACGAGGACCGCGCAGAGCTCTTGCCCGACGCGCCGATGATCTTTCGACCCGTCGGGCGAGCAGCAACAGAGAAAAATGTCAACACCGAACACAAACACGCGGCGTGGTTCGGGTGTGTGTTTCGTCCCTTTCATGCTTGGTCGTCAGGTTTTCCACCTCTTCGGTACTGCTTTTTTCTTTCCAAGGCGTACATATCAGCCGGGGTCACGCTAATTGGCCACGCACGTGATTTTTTTCCCCCTCGACCTTACCTAAAATTCTGCGGTGGTGCTGGCCTTTCTTTGTCTAAAATGAACGATTCAGCCGTCCCTTTCTTTCTCTTGTCCACCGTGAAATCGAAGTAGCGTTGCATACGCACGAAGCGATCGCTGTCTAATCCGTTTGAGGATAACTTGGTGAGCAAGACTCCCGGTTCGTGTAGCTGCTGCCCCGAGATTAGAACCCACGTCCTGAGCACCAGAAGGCTGCGAGGATTTCACAGGTTACCAATCAAGGCGGCGCGACGGGCAATAGCATGCCAGCTCTTCCCCCCTCTCTACTCTATGTATGCGGATGTACATCCGACCGTATATTGTCCCAATCACCATGGATGCGTGCACCTCTCGCACCCCCCAATCTCTCTTTCGAAGCAATTCACGTCTTCCCCAACTCTTTACTGCACCACAAACCCCACCCTCTCTACGCGTGCGTGTCCGTCTCACCAATCCAGTTGAGATATCTGATGAGCATCTTTACGATGTAGCTCTTCCCTCTCGCCGGGAGCCCCACCATCACCAGCACCAACTTTCGGCTCATGGTCCAGTAGCCTAGCCGCTGCGTCTGCCTGTTGGCAGGGTGCTGCTGGAGAACCCCCATCTGCCGGCGTTGTATCGTTGGCGTTGTTGTTGGTATACAGGTGCGCCACAGCGGTTGCCCGGGGGAGGGGGGGCTGAGGTATGCCGAATCACTTCGTAGCGAGTTTTTTTTGTCTCTCTTTGTTTCCGGTGCATGTTGCACAGGATACACCCACCTGTGTCTGAACAAGCGCGCGCTGAACATGGTAGGTTTGTGATGTGCCAACGCGCACGCGTGCAGAGGGTGAACAACATCAAGATATCTACTGCAGCTTATAATACTGCCCTATCTCCATGTCTGCTGCCCCGCGGGCTTGGAAAAGCCTGTACCACGCAAATTGCATCAGTCTACAAGCAAGCACATAGGAGTACCTACACTCCCCTCCTACTCCAATTTCTTCCTCCTTCCCCCCGGCGTGCTCCGTCCCGGCGTAGTAGGGATGCGAAGTCAGTCGGTCTAACGACTACGGCATGCACGGCAATGAGTAAGTTCACCCCCAACTACCCCAACGCCTAAACTCGTCGTCTACACGAAACGACTAACAACCAGAAAGAAGCGAGGCAGAACACCCGACTCACCAGGCTCACCTGAGAGCTCAAGGATCGATTCCAGTCCTGCCGGCGTGGCGTCCCCAGCCGTCCCGGGGTGCTGGGGCTGGGGGGGATGGACGTGCTGTACGTCGGCATGAGGTTGCTCAGAATCTTGGGGAGGCGGGGTGCTCTGTTGTGGGCACTGGCCTGCAGTTGCTGATGCGGGGGGGGGGGGGGGGGGGG